CTTATTTGTACGTAATTATATGTATTAGGGTGGGTCAAATAAACGAATGTTTTTGTTTGGCACTCGGAGAAACTGGTTGAAAGACCACTTTAAGAAAGGATCTTCAAGTAATTGTAAGTTCGAAGCGGTAAAAAACATTCGATTTTTTTGACCCACCCTAATATGTATACCATATTTAATATAGTATAGTATTTAATAAGTACATATATTTGTATAAAAGCATAAAATCATTTTCGAATTTTGAAAGTCCTTTAAAGTTGTACATAAATTATGAGGTCCCAAWTTGCTACATAGAAAATGTTAGAAGTTAGATGAAAGACTATCGTACTTTTAAATATTTTTTAATTTTAGTGTTATAACAAATGAACAAAATATTTTCTGCATAAAATTAGATATTTTTGGAAATGGTCTTCTTCGTACTTGGAGCTTTTACCCAATTTGATTATTGAAATGAGGTCTGTGCAATTAATTGCCAATTATTTTAATAAGATCTTAGCATTGCTAGTGGAAAACATAGACTTTTGCAATATGTAATGAACGAACCTTTAAGAAACTGTGCATTGTACTATATGAACTGAGAAAGATCAGCTGGCCATAGTTTTTGGAGCTTCAAAATGTTATTGCTGAACAGATACAAATATGTCGCTATATTCTTCTGAACGGTCCAGCTTTCGCAAGACCAAAGTTAAGACATCGGCATTAGATATAAGTACACGATGGTTTCTGGATTTTTTTAATGAAAAAGACCGGTTTGCTATTGCCCGAGTGTGATTTCCGTGAGTTGTGATTTATATTTGACCTAGCTCGCCAATATACTAGTATCTCTTATATAGAGAAAATTTACTTTAATAAGTAATTTGCTCTTAAAAGTAGGCAACCTAGGTATATACTATATACATATATGTGACATACTCTGCTAGAATAATTTGCTCCAAATATGAGGGACGCTGCCGAGCTTTCGAAAAGATAAACCTATAATTTGAGCGAACTAAAGTCAGGTTTCGGTGCGGTGCCATGACACAGATGGATATTCCCACTTAGAGATTTAACAGAGCGTTTGAAGCCAAAAACTCTAGAAGCCTTTAAGGGGTTACATGGGTTTACGGGTTTCAAAAATCGATTTATTTTATTGTCATATTAAATTCTGCAATACTCTTAGAATATTGTCCTAAATTTTCAAATTGATCCGAGTAACAGTTTCGGAGAACTTGTGCGTTCAAGGCTAGTTAGGCTGAGAGCTAAGTCTTTAAAAGCGTTTTTCTCGAAACTGTGATTTTGAAGATGGTTGGCAAGATTTCTGGAGAACAACTCAACCGATCTTCATGAAATTTTACATAGATCTTTGAGAAACAATTCTTAACGACTTGCACGAAGGATGTTTTCGATTATAACTATTTGAAAAAAAAATAAAATAAAATTCATTTAAATTTTAATTTTCTTGTTAAAATGTCTGCCAAAAATACAATTTTTAGTTAGGTTCTGGGTAACCAGAGTGAATACGGCCAAGGATTGTCAATTCGGCAGAGTTTACAAAATAATTTGAGGAATGTTTTCTGCCAGTACAGCAACCACAATAACGTCGTTTGCTTGGTCTTACTGTTTACGTATTTTGAGAACAAGATGAACTTCGTTGCGCATGGAACGCCAGCGTGCTGCTCGCGTTCAACAGAATTTCAATGCCACGATAGGGTTGATTGTTAAGCAACGCTACCCGAGTTTGCGCGAAGACCACTTGTATGGCATTAGAGTGTACGACTGCAATGGAACCTCACACCATTCTGAGCTCCATTTAATCGGGCGAAAGTGCATTTTACTACAAATCTTGATAAGACATCAAATCACATTATATTTTATTATTCTGGTTCGCTTTCAAAACCGCTTTTAAGGTGGCGCTCGGCTTGAGGAACAAATATCGACTTCATGTCACTTTAAGATTTTTTTTAGTATTGAAACATTTAGCAGGTCTTTATTTCAATAAAAGCACAATTAAAGTAGCAACAAAAATATTTTCTAAGTGAAAGACAAAAAATAACAAAACAAAAAATACTTATAAGCAAATCTACTCAAATACAGAAGCAACGAGGCTAATCAGTAGTGTAATGAAATTGAAATGAAATTCTATAATTCCAATTATTGGTGCATTGACAGGAGTTAGGAAGACTTCTAGTGCGAGATGAAAGCAGAAGACAAAATAATAACATTTGAAAAGCACAATTAAGTTAAGATATAGAGAAAATATATATAGGATTTCGTAATGCTAAAGCTGAACCGTGCCAAGGACATACAATAACAGTAGTACTATAATACAGCTAGGATAAACAGTTAAGCCCGTAAGATGAGCCAGCATATAAGAGTGGATGAAGGAATGAGTTGAGATTTAATGAATAAGTAAATGTTGGGATGAAATGGAACAGTGCGAAAGGCCAAAAGCACGCGCCACAAGCAGTGCAATTACTGCACCACATATGTTTTTACACAAATAAAATATTAGCAGGATTTGCCAAAGGCTGAGCAGACGGTTAACACAGCTACAAATGTACAAACAATAGCAAAGTGTTCAAATAGCGCGTGTAAATTAAGAGAAGAGCGTAAATTTTCATTCCGTGGCTGCGCAGTTGTAATTACGTGTAATCAATTACTTACCACAACAATTGCGATTACTTGCTGTTGCAATTTTTCTATATCCRGATTCGAGGGCGTGTTTATTTGCTTCAACTCATGCTCCATGGCTCTGTATGAACGAAAATAATAAATTGTACARAAAGAGTGTAGGAGAGATGAAGAGAGCGCAAAACGCGGCAGCAATAAATTTACTTTAATGTCTCCGGCGATATATTGTCCAAGTTCTGCAGTGTCGAYTTCATCTCGGTCAAGCGTTTAATTACATCTGCGCTGGTCAGCTTCATGTAGATCGTCTTTAGCTCGTCGATCTTCTGACGTGTGTCCTCCATGCAAGTTTGATCGCATGACTTGTTGTACTCTTCGTACAGTTCTTCGCAGCGCTGCAGYAGATCCTCAAATTCCAGGAAGCCCGAATTGCGATCTTGCATCTCTTGTGGTGATTCGAAGCGGCGTATCAGCTGATCAGCATGTTCGAAACATTCATCCAGTTCGTGCGCCAACTTAAGTAAGGTTTCGAGGAATGCTTTCGATTGTGTCACGTTCTCGCCGAGTGCGTTGTAGAGATGCTTTAGCGCGTCGATGCGTTGACTCAACTGTTTGGGCGAACGTGTGAATTTGTCCTCGCACACCTTGCGTCCGGTCTTGATTGTGCTCTCGATCTCTGGYTTAATTTCAGAGAGCGTGCGRTAGATTTGCTAGTGAGTGGTAATGAAAAATATAAAATTTATTAGAATTTGGTAAAAGGTGGTCAAAATTATTAGCATTATACGCAACAGAAAACTGCTGAAGGGGGATAGCTAAAAAGTACTACAAAACTTCATAATGCATCTGTAAACAATGTAGTATTTTAGAAGATTGAGTCTAAAAATATGTACTTAGATTATATGACGTAATACTCTGCATTGAATTTGAACAGTAAGCTTCGAAGTAACATATATATGAGGGCACAAAAATTCTCTTTTGATATTAGCAAGTTATTATATAGAAATGTAGGTCATTTCAATAGATGAACTTTCTTCTATCTAWACAAAGTAAAAATTGTGTCTTCAACCGTGTAAAATACATAAAGATTCTTTGAAGAAACCCCACATAAAATAAACCGGCTCGGCCTTCTTTAAGAACCTCGAGAACTGCGAACTCGAGAATCGCAAAGCCATTTGTCACATGTACACAGTTAAAGACTGAGGGTCTTGCCGTTAAAGCCTCCTGCCATATGGTGCGAATATTTACGACTCCTTCTCCCGTCGTTTCAACAAATACTCACCACACATTTCTGGTACTGCGCCTGAACGGTGTTGGGCCCTGCCGACGCTACGTCCAACACCAGCGTGGAGTGTTCGACTGCACGCAGCTCCGCCACAGCGCGATTTAAACGGGATTCGTACGCGGGTTGTGGTGCAGTGCACTTGTTTAACTTTAGCTGACAAGACTTAAAGCGCAGTTCGGTTAGATTAAGCTTCTCTTGCAGTCGGTTGGCGGCTTCAATCTTGCCATTGCGTGTGTGCTCCGCTATGAGRTCCTCGATCTCTTTGAARCAATGCTTTTTCGTCTCGAACTCTTTAACCAAGCGCTGTAATAAAAATATAGATTTTTAATTTCTTTTAATACTCTGAGRCGAGCTCAGCTACTACCTGAAAATCATCSGGCAGATCCTCAATGGTAACATCGTTCTCCATATGTTCGGTCAGTATCTCGTCGACACGTGTTAGCCAAGCCTCAAACTGTACAATACACTTCTCGGACTGTTCGGCCTCGCTCACCTCTTTCTCCAGTATTTCGGTGCGTTGCTTGGCGCGTAATTGCAGCTGTGTCCAACGCTCCACAATACCATCGATTTCGGTACGTATCGAACTCGCCATAAACTCATGTTCAATTAGCTCATTGCCAATTTCTTGAATTTTCTCCAACCATTCGTCAGAGTGTGCACGCAGCACATTTTCGAGATCCTTAAAAAATTAGTTACATAGTTTAAATACTTATAATACGTACGCACAATATAGTTACATCAAGTTCCTCAATGATCTCCTCTGCGTCTGCATTCTCTGGCGTACTGCCTATCTTATTCTCCAACCGGTCCAAATAACCAGACTCGGAAACCATGAATTTTTTGAACTCGCCCAATTGTGTAGATATGTGCTCCAGTAAAGCGGTTTTCGCATACACCAGTGCCGTTACCTCGGTCCAACGCGCGCTCAGACGTGTAAATTTCTTCGGCAACTGTGTGTACTTGCCGTCCACTTCCTCACCTGTGGTCTTYAGTTCATCCATTTGCAACAACAGCTCGCCGCCTAAGTCGTTCAACTCGCGAAAGCCCACAGACTCACGCTCGCAAGCCTCTTTGAGTGTCTGAAATTTGCTCTTAATTTGAAAGAGCTCATTGGAGTTGTTGATCTCCGATATTTTCGTCTTCGGCGTATTTTGTTCGAGCTCATTCAGCCAAACTTCGGTCTTGGCCAAACGTTCGAGTACTTCTTCTGCTTTGTCCAGTACTTGCGTGCGTTTCAAGGCCTGCCCCTTATGCAAATCTTGCACTTTTGTAAAGAACTCGTTAAGCTCCTTGATTTGCGAYAGCAAATGTTCTCGATGTGCTGGCTCCGCATCCTTTATGAGTATCTCGCTGAAATTGCGGGCGCTTATCACATCAATCTCAATCTTACGAAGCTCCATATTCAGTTGATTGCTGTCTCCCACAGCGGGTTGTGTGAGCTGCTCTGGGCTTTCGATATCGTCYGGCTTGAACTTAGACTCCAACTTACGCAACACATTCAATATGGCATTATACTCTGCGTTGAAGTGATTAAGATTCTCAATTGCCGTCGTTTGTTTGATCACGCGCTCGTTGAGCTTTTCCGGTATTTTAGCCCAATTTTCCGCAAACTCGGTGTTCACTRCATCTGGTCGTTTTTCGCAGACATATTCGTAGTCTGCCTTCAATTGTTCTAGCTCATCGACGAGCTCATTCAGCTGCTTCTGTTGCGCTTGCATTGGTGGCAGTTCGGTGACTATCACTTTAACCCCAGACATTTTCGACATGAAATCTTCTAAGCGCAGCAACCGCTCATTGACTTCATCTAGTCCACCCTTATCTTGTATCAATGTAATAATTGCGCGTTTCATGTCGTTCCAACTCTCGTAGAAAATACTGAAATCCTGACGCCATTCTTGCAAGTCTTCGCTCAGAGTGGCTGTGATCTCTTTAGCGTCGGCAATTTCGCCAGACAGCGATTCCATGTGACTTAAACGCTGTTCTAAATCGGCCTTGYTCGCCGACTGCGAGTGCTGCTTATACCAATCACGCGAGTCGGCCAGCACCAACTTGAAGCCAGTCAAGCTGTTGTAGAACTTTTCCTTGGCTATGATTTGTGCTGTCTCCGACTTCTGTTCAATGATATGCTTTTTGAGTGTTTCAAAACGCTCATCAATTTGTTTGATTTGCGTGGCTTCCATTATTAAATTTCGTTTSACTWCCTCCTGCTCACACACTTCGTACAGTTGCTTCAGCTCGCTGCTTAGCGCCGTRCGTTTGGCGACCTCCTTCTCCAGCGCAATTAGCATTTCGCTTTGATTGCGCAAACTTTGACGATGCACACTCTGCAGACGGTCCTCACAATCTTCTAGGAAGTTGCATGCTTCCATTATGCGAGCCGTAAGCAGATAAAAATTATCCGAACTCCGTAACTTACGTTTCTTATTGCCTTCCGGTGATTCTACTACTTGATAGACGGTGTCTGGTGACGGCTGCAACACATTTATATTTTCTGCACCTTCRTTCACATCTTCATTTTCTTCGCCAAATTTGATTAGCATTTGGAAATCCACCCARCCATCCGGTCGCACCACACGACTRTAGTCGTATGACGCACGATCACGCCCGAACTTGAAGCCTTTCGCCTCGATGCGGTCGGTTTGTACTTCAACAATCTGTTTAAGCGCATCCAGACGGTCCTCGAAGCTCTCTAATTGCATGAGCACACGCTCACCTTGATCGTCGCCCTCTTGCAGTGAAGCCGCCACCATCTGTCTTAAATCGATGAGGTAACGCTCCAGTTCCAACAAATCTTTGGCGCAATAGTTTAGGTCGTTCATACGCTTCGTAATGCCACCTAAATCGGTTACATCTTTGCTTTCCATTGTCTTCAAGTCTTGTTCGCGTACATCTAGCCAACGATAGATACATTTGTATTGCTGCAACTTCTCCATGCGCAAGTCACTCCACTTGGACACATGCGACCAGCGTTCGCCTAGCGCTGACAACTTATCTTCAAGATCATTGAAATTGCCCGACTCATCATTTACAATCACCACCATATTACTAAGGCTGTCAACCAGCGCTTGCTGATTGCACAGATCGTCTTTCAACTGSCGCCCTTCGGCAATTTGTTCTTGCACCGCCGGCAAACTCGGTCCAATATTGGTCATATGCGAGATGCGATCTTCAATATTGGTGAGGAAGAGACGCAACTTTTCGATCTGTTGCGATTGAAATTCGGCGAGGCGTGCCAATATCTTCGACTGCACATCGAGCGCTTGCAGACGCAAAGTCTCCCAGCGTTCGTTGAGCAATACCATCTGCTGACGTATTTCGTTCTGATCTTCGGTGGTAAGACCGGAAGTCTTTTGCGATTCATTGATCAAATTCGAACCCTCTTCGAGCGCTTCGCCCACGTACTGCTGATGTTCGGTGAGCTTCAACATGAATTGCTCGTTCTCGTGAAACTGTATTTTAGCACTTTGAAAGTCAATCGATTCGGGCAGCTCACGTGAGAGTATCTGCTCATCCTCCAACAGCAGCGTGAGCACCGCTTCCAAAGCTGCTTGATAGCTCGTTATCTCGATGGATGCATTCGTGGCKGTGCTCATGGGTCGCGATTTGTCATTCGCCATGCGAAGATAATCTAACGGTTTGCTCTCATCCATGCCGATATCCATAATGCTGTGCATAGTATCGCTGCTGTACTTCGTCGACTTCACTGGATCCGAAYTGCTGACCGGCGTACTGCTCAAGTCAGAGAACACCTCCTCGGCGCTATCCAACGGCACTTCGTCGAGATCGGTGATATTTGTGTTGRTGTTGCTGCGCGTCGGTGGKAGCGCCTCCTGCGCCTTCTCGTCGAACAACACTGCCTCRCCAGCACTGTCACTACGTTCACGGCTRCGAAGCGATTCCATGGCATGATACAGACACATCACATACATYTGTATCGACTTGTTGTCCGGCTTGTGGGTGTGCACGTCTTCGGGATCGAGTAATTTCTCTATCTTAAAGTATTTGTGCGCCAAATCGAAYGCGGTACGTAGACGCGCCAACGGGTGTTTTGTGAGCGCTGCGCTCAAATCGATATCCTCGAGATGCGCATTGAGCACAATGAGAAACGCCCTACCGTCGGCCCAACTGCTGGAGAAGTCATGTAGCTGCAGCCCATATGGTTCGGTGAATTGACGCGCCCATGCCAGCAGTGATTTCTCCACGCCATTACTCGACTGACTCTTCACCAGGTTTTGSCCGTTAAACTCGAGCGCTATGAGCCAAATCAAGCCGAGCGTCAATTTCGGATTGCCAGCGACTATATCATCACTGGATATGTTCACCAACTTGACACCATGCTCTTGTATCACTTGGATTACTTTGTTAATATTATTGATGTGATGTACGCGCATGCGACCGCGTTCTGGTTTCTAAGCGAGGAGAGGAGAAAATTAGAAGGGACAGGCATTAAAATTCATTTCATTTGAGGAAGTGAAGTGAAAGTACGTAAGTGGGTTTGCATAATGGCATGGCACGTGAATAAAAATAGAAAGCAAGGAAATATACAAAATTAATCAACAACAACAACTTTGCAAAGATATATTCTGCACTCAAAATTGCATAGCTTGCAACTAGAAGCTTCTCAAAGTTTCCTATGCTATTCAATTTGTTCTCCCCTCTCTCGGTCATATGTCTCCTCGCACCAMCATATCACACACTTTGCCACCTGTCACTCATTATTTATCTATAATTTGTACACACGCAAGTCCTTGACTTTGCAATTCGTTATGCCAGCTCCACGACCCTTCCTATCTTCTCTCCCACCATCTCTTRTTCGATTTACATTTCCGTTTCCTCATACTCGACTGGAAAATTGACATGCAAGTCATACATGTATGTATGTATGTATTTGAGGTCATGAGAGCATTTGGAGACCTTAGTTCACTTCTTCTTCTTCTTCACTTACATTTTGTTAATTCTAAGTATCCTTCTCTGCTGAGTAAGCAGCTAGAGATATGTGAAATTAAATTTATTTTCWCATTTTCTTCTTGCATTTCGCAATTTTAAACAAACTTGTAGAATTTTTGATATCTGCGACTAGTCGATATACTCTAACGGTAATAATTTAATTTCCCACGTCAGCCAAAATTATGCTTCTTCTCATTTTCGTCAATGCAGATAAATTGTATGAACGCTAATTTTAATTTAGATACCTAAGGAGACTGAGAGGGAATTCGTTTTTGAAAAGTAATCTGACAGACGTGATATTTGTGTTCTTCAGTTACGATGGGAAGTCCGTAGGATTTTGGGATGAGAGAGCAGGGGAGATGTCAGCTTTATCAGCGGTGGGTATTTGAGCAATGAATTATTACATTTCGGAACTAACATAGCTTATATTGCGTTAAGAAAGCTCTCATGGATTTACTTTGAAAGCAAGAGCACAATAGAACAAGTAATAAATTRTAATTTTTTGTACCGTGTTCTTGATCTTATTCTACGGATACTACCCAGCTTTGGTTTCGTGTCTTTCATGATCATTGTCTGCCGACATGTGAGCGGCGAAAGCTTGTCGYCATCTATTCAACAGTTCTTAGCATTTTTCTGTGCGTTGACTGTTCTCGTGTTATGTTGTTTAAATTATTTGTAAGCGAGTCGCTTTGTCGATATCCCCTTTCGTTCCGGCTTTGGATCTGTGGATATATATCCAGTGAGCTCAGCAAAAACCAGACCTTGTGCGACTTTGCAGTCCTTCTGACCCATAGTGAACTGTAAACTACTTGCTCTTAACAAAGCAAAATTGTGGCAATTATGATGCCCTGACCACTCTCCCCTTGGTTCCCACACGGTACGGCTAAATATTTTATCGGGCTCCCTTTGTCAAAGCTGTATACTTTGTATTATATACAAAAACCTTATAGAGGAAGGAGGTTAGGAATCATTTTGTCTCCTTCTTTTTTATTGRCCGCCTTTTGCCAGACTGAGATTGAAGTATCTCGGTAGACATGCTTTTAGCGAACCTGGCAAAGTGGCTGGGATTGTTGTAAACCTCCTCAAACAATTTGGGGTAAGCTCAAAACACTTCCTTGATGAGAGTCGGGGATCCATTTCAAGCAGTTTCTTGTTAACGCAAAGGAGAAATGCCTGTTTAAGTGAGATCCATCGATTTTGTATCAACCCCACGATTTAACCGA